TTTTGTAGTGTGTTTGGGACATATTCCATTAGGATTGTAACGAAGGGTCGAAGACGTTCGGATCCATGTGCAGTAACTTTATTCACAATAAGTAGACAGAGAGAATGCAGTAAACACAAACTGGTAAACAGGGAAGATCCAGGCTCAGCAACAATATCAGGCAGGGGTCGAGGCAGGCAGCAGACAGAAACACGGAGACCAGGAGAACAGGCAGGGATCAGGAAACCAGGAAAACTAAGGAATATAAACGGTCAGAGATGTAGGCCGTGGCAAATACAAGACTTCACAATGGTGTAGTGAGTGGAAGTGGTTTATATGTGTGTGTGAATGAGATGCAGGTGTGTGTAATCAGCACAGTGCAGGTGTAATCAGTCCAGGGAGATGCATGATGGGAAATGTAGTCCGTGATAACCCAGGGAGTGCATGGCCAATCGTGACAGAGCCCCCCCTTTAAGAGCGGCTTCCAGACGCTCAAAAACAAAAACGAAACAAAAATAAAAAAAAAACACAACAGTTCAGGAGGGTGGTGAAGCGGAGGTGGTCCTGGGGGAGGGATGGAGGGCCAGGTCCGTGCAGGGGAACGGGACCAGGGCACCGCAATAGCGGACCTGGGTCGTGGAGCGTGGGCGGACCAGGCTGTGCCGGCGGCCAGGGCGGAGCAGGCAGTTCAGATGGCCAGGGCGGACCAGGCAGTGAAAACCCTTCGGGCGGCCACGGCGGAGAAGACCCTTCGGGCGGCCAGGGCGGTGACGACCCTTCGGGCGGCCAGGGCGGTGACGACCCTTCGGGCGGCCAGGGCGGTGGCTGTGCAGACGTGACGTGGACAGTCTCTGGCTGTGCAGACGTGACGTGAACAGTCTCTTGCTCGGCAGGCGTGATGTGAAGGTCTGGCTCGGCAGGCGTGACGTGAAGCGAGGGCTCTGGACTGGACAGAACCAGTGATGGAGGCGGTTCTGTACTGGACTGGACCAGCGGCGAAGAGGCCTTGGTGCTGGACGGAACCAGCGGTGAAGAGGGCTTGGTGCTGGACGGAACCAGCGGCGAAGAGGGCTTGGTGCTGGACGGAACCAGCGGCGAAGAGGGCTTGGTGCTGGACGGAACCAGCGGCGAAGAGGGCTTGGTGCTGGACGGAACCAGCGGCGAAGAGGGCTTGGTGCTGGACGGAACCAGCGGCGAAGAGGGCTTGGTGCTGGACGGAACCAGCGGCGAAGAGGCCTTGGTACTGGACGGAACCAGCGGCGAAGAGGGCTTGGTGCTGGACGGAACCAGCGGCGAAGAGGACTTGGTGCTGGACGGAACCAGCGGCGAAGAGGGCTTGGTGCTGGGTTCATGGGCTGTATCGGATGCGTGTGCTGCCCATAAACACAAAACAGCCATGGACCCCACAATGAGCACAGTGTCCTCCAGAGAAGCATGGGCGGTCTCTGGCTGGACGGTCCCTGGCTGGACGTGGCTGACGTGAAGCTCTGGCTGGACGTGGCTGACGTGAAGCTCTGGCTGGACGTGGCTGACGTGAAGCTCTGGCTGGACGTGGCTGACGTGAAGCTCTGGCTGGACGTGGCTGACGTGAAGCTCTGGCTGGACGTGGCTGACGTGAAGCTCTGGCTGGACGTGGCTGACGTGAAGCTCTGGCTGGACGTGGCTGACGTGAAGCTCTGGCTGGACAGGCTCTGGCTGGACAGGCTCTGGCTGGACAGGCTCTGGCTGGACAGGCTCTGGCTGGACAGGCTCTGGCTGGACAGGCTCTGGGAGACGGGACCCTAGAATGACGGCCTTCTGGGCCCTCCGCACTGACATCAGCGGCAGCTGTGCCACGGTGGACATCAGTCCTGGACACCCATAGACCGATGCCATGGCTGGCTTGACGGCTGAAGTGACGAGAAGATTCTCAGGCAGTGCGGTCATGATAACATCCTCCTCCACCTTCCCTACGGTGAAGGGGGATCCACAAAACTCCAGGACAGAGTCAATATACCGTGCCAGGGTCCAGCTGGGGTCTTCCTCTGGTAAATTTATTCTAATGTCCGGGTCTAGTCCACTCCAGAAACAGTCTTTAATCATTGAATCATCGCCAGGAACAAGATGACTATAAAAAAGAAACTCCTCCACATACTCCTCAATGATGCGATTAAACTGATAAATTGAACACAGTTTGCTCAGCGGGTCCTGGTGTACAGCGAGTGGACCTGCATTGGCTGACTGGAGAGCATACAAGGCTGCTGGATCCTGTGGTGGTGAAGTCTTCTGTAACGAAGGGTCGAAGACGTTCGGATCCATGTGCAGTAACTTTATTCACAATAAGTAGACAGAGAGAATGCAGTAAACACAAACTGGTAAACAGGGAAGATCCAGGCTCAGCAACAATATCAGGCAGGGGTCGAGGCAGGCAGCAGACAGAAACACGGAGACCAGGAGAACAGGCAGGGATCAGGAAACCAGGAAAACTAAGGAATATAAACGCTCAGAGATGTAGGCCGTGGCAAATACAAGACTTCACAATGGTGTAGTGAGTGGAAGTGGTTTATATGTGTGTGTGAATGAGATGCAGGTGTGTGTAATCAGCACAGTGCAGGTGTATGGTGTAATCAGTCCAGGGAGATGCATGATGGGAAATGTAGTCCGTGATAACCCAGGGAGTGCATGGCCAATCGTGACAAGGATTTAATGCCCCTACCAATATAACCCAACACATATCAGTAGAGACACACAGAGACCACTATAATTCCCATTACAACCAATACAATTCCTATGAAAACCAATAAAATTCCATAATGTAAACCATTAAATCCAATAGAATTTCTGTAATGTTTTCTATAGTTTTTTTTAGCAGGGCAGTATCATGTGTGAAAGCTTTATCTTGTTTAGCTGTAGGAAGGAGAACTCTATAACTTAACTGGTGGGACTGATATTTTTGTATGTTGAAAAGGAGGTGCTTGTGTAACTGGTTGTACTTGTATAATGTAGCAGAGGGTTTTTGAAGTTTCTGTCTTTGATGCATGTTTTTATGTAACAATGTTCATATGTTCTCTAATTAATAATAAAAAATTAAATCCAATCTCCTCAACAATAACGCCAATCCAAACACTGACTACTACAACCCACGGTGTTGCCATGGTTTGGCTTCACTTTTATAAGAAATACAGCCGCCAGGTTTCAAATCTGTCAACACTGGATCGGGCTGTCAAAGCAGTCAGGTGGTTCACTACAGGAGTGAAGCAGTGTGTTTGCTTCAGACGTCATTTTCACGTGACTAGTGACGTAATGATACAAGCTCCGAAGCAGTGGTTCATTGCAAGGACCGATCGAGTTTGAAGCAAGCTTCGGAGCGTCGGTGTCAGACCTAACATCACTAATCTCACGTCTCTTGTGTGTGTGTGTGTCTCGTGACAACCTGTTATGTCGCGGGTCTACTCTCCACAGTTCAGCACTAACTTCGACCTGTGCTTTGCTGAACCATGCTCACACTTGGACTTGGACCAACAATTATCTGACCTGGATGCGGATCAACATTTCAGCCTTTTAAATTCTGCTTGGCTTAAGGTAGCAAACGCGACTGCTCCTCTCAAGCCTCACATATCCAAACCAAACTCTAATCTGTGGCAAAACTCTGACACTCGTCATCAAAGACAAATTTGTAGAACGGCCGAACGCAAATGGAAACGAGACAGGCAAGTTGTCTCCTTCCATTTGTTCAAAGACGCTCTGACAGCATACCAGAAGGCTGCTAAGTCAGCTAAAGCTGCATATTTCTCTAACTTAATTGAATCCAACCACTCTAACCCTAAGGTCTTGTTTTCAGTCATTCAGTCTGTTATAAATACTTCTTCTAAACTATCTGTTGCCTCTGATGCTCTATGTGAAGATTTCCAGAGATTTTTTTGTGAACAAAATCACTAAATTAAGACTAAGTGTTTGTCCTAACTTAACTCTCCCGCCATTCGTGTCACCTACTACTTGTTTTTGGGATGTTTTTGATCCTATCAACCTCCAGACACTAAAGGATGTGAGCACCAAGCTCAAACCTTCATTTTGTCCAAATGATATGGGGTCCAGGTTTGGTATCTCTTTTTAACAAGTGTCTCAATACTTTGTCTTTGCATTGTTGCAGCACACATAATTATACATTTTCATTGATTGGTAGCGATCCAGCTTATATGCCCCTTCTCTGTTTATGTGTCACTATGGCCCTATTTGTGGTGTTAGGCCTACATTTTGCCAGCAGCCATATCACCCTGTAGCCCAAGACTGGTTGCCCACTGAAGCTAAGCAGGGCTGAGCCTGGTTAGTACCTGGATGGGAGACCTTCTGAGAAAACCAGGTTGCTGCTGGAAGAGGTGTTAGTGAGGCCAGCAGGGGGCGCTCACCCTGTGGTCTGTGTGGGTCATAACGCCCCAGTGTAGTGACGGGGACACTATACTGTAAATTGAGCACCGTCCTTCGGATGAGACGTTAAACCGAGGTCCTGACTCTCTGTGGTCACAAAAAATCCTAGGATGTCTTTCGAAAGAGTAGGGGTGTAACCCCGGCATCCTGGCCAAATTTGCTCAGTGGCCTCTGTCCTTCATGGCCTCCTAATCATCCCCATATATATATATACCAATTGGCTTCATCACTCTGTCTCCTCTCCACCAGTAAGCTGGTGTGTGGTGGGCGTTCTGGCGCAATATGGCTGCCGTCGCATCATCCAGGTGGATGCTGCACATTGGTGGTGGTTGAGGAGATTCCCCCCTTCTATGTGAAGCGCTTTGAGTGTCCAGAAAAGCGCTATATAAATGTGATGAATTATTATTATTATTATTATTTTACTTTGCTTGAAAAATCCTTTGAATATGCCAAAACGTTGCACAAACATACTTAATCGACCGTATATGAAGTTATCTACATGCAAAAGTTTATAGGATTCCATTAAGTGGAATATGCTTTTTTTTTCATGCTGAGTTGAAATTATATAAAAAAAAAAAATAAAAAAAAAATAACTTTATATGTCTTTGCTATTTCAGAGTCCACATCCATGTGACACTATTCAAACATTTCTGGCTCCGGTTTGCCACAATCACTCAATTACGGTATGTATATTTTTTTCTTTGTAATAAAATTAAACTTGACTTGTTTAATTTCTTTGCAAAAGTGTGATGTCTGTTGTTTTCTCTCTCTTTTTGAATTCCAGATATGTGAGTTTTGGGAATGTGGCAATGTAAAGTGTGTGGAACAGAATTATCCAGTAGGTACGAGTTATTGAAACATTCTAAGCTTAAACATGGACATTTTGTGGCGAGGTTCAGGCATCCTTGTGTATACAGTAATTGTCCTTGCACTTTTAAATCATGGAATAATCTCCTAAGTCATATATACCGTGCCCACCGTGATCAGTCATCTCCAAATCAACAGTTAGCCACCTTTTCATGTCAGCTGTGTGCGTGCATTAAGTCAAATGAAAGAGATTATTTCAGTCATGTAAATGAACATTTGCGAAACTGTGACTTGTGTGTTTAAAGGATGTACATTTAAAAGTAACATTTATAGTACCTTTCATACACACAGAAATAGGAAGCACAATCCTCATGGTCTAACTGACTTTAAATTAAATGTTGTCACAATCACAACAGACTGTCAGGAGTCAGCAAGTCCTCCAATTGATTTTCCCTCATGTTCAACAGAAACTTTGTTAGAATCATGCAATGATGATAATAATGATGAAGATATTTCCAAGGCAAGTGTGCTGAATATTGCCCTTGTTTTATTAAAGTTGGAAAACATTTTGCATGTCCCAGCCACAGCAGTTGATGAATTACTTCAAGAACTACATTATTCATTAACATCAGCATCAATTCCAGGCACTTGTGACATAATTTCTGACATTCTTAGAAATCACAACATAGAAATTGACGAGTCTGTCATTCAAGAGCTTACTGAAGCAGTGGGCAGGTCAAATCCCTTGGTTAAAGCCATAGAAAAAGGTGGTCCTCTTGCCACAGCTTTTAAGCGGAAGCAGTTCTACAAGGAGCGTGTAAGTGTTGTAGAGCCAGTTGAGTTTATTCTTGATCATAAGACTAGAAAGACCTATCAGTATATACCTATTTTGCCTTCTCTACAGCTGCTGTTTAGTTGCAGTAATATTTTAAAGTCTGTTACTGATGACCACGAGAGACAGACAACTGATTCAGGGGTAGAGAAAGAACAGCAGTTTAGGTCCATAAGAGATGGTCTTTATTGCAAGGAAAACTCTTTTTTTAGTGGAGAGGAATTGAAAATATCTTTATCATTGTACATTGATGATTTTGAGCTCTGTAACCCTCTTGGAACCTCACGTAAGAATCACAAACTTTGTGGGGTCTATTGGATTTTGAATAACTTGCCACCTGGATCCAATTTAACAGTTTTTATCTATCTATTTGGCAGTTTTATGCAAGAGTGAACATGTAAAGTTATATGGATATGACACAATTTTAGAGCCCCTTTTACAGGAATTGATTACTTTAGAGAGTCATTGTGTTTATGTTCCAGAACTTGGACGGTTTGTGAAAGGTACAGTCCAGTCTGTCATTGCAGATAATCTAGGGGCCCACGGTTTAGCAGGCTTCATAGAAAGCTTCTCTGGTGAGTACTTTTGCAGGTTTTGTGTAGGGAAGAGATTGGAGATCCAGGCTGAATCTGTTCAGACTGGGGATTTTGCCCTTAGAACAAAGGAAATTCATGATGCACATGTTACATCTGCAAAGGAAAACTCTGCCATAATTTGTGGAGTAAAAAGGGGGTGTGTGTTAACAGAGAAATTATCTCACTTTCATGTAACTCAAGGCTACCCTCCTGATATTGTGCATGACCTATTTGAGGGCATTGTGCCAGTGGAACTTGCACTCTGTTTAAGAGAATTTGTTTCTAAGAAGTATCTATCTCTTGAGACTCTGAACACATTGATCTTGAACTTTCCCTATAAGTGGGGTGATAGAACCAATAGACCTCACATTATTCCGTGTACATATGCCTCAAAGAGGAACATTGGAGGTAATGCACATGAAAATTGGAATTTACAGAGATTGCTTCCATTCATTATTGGAGACTTGATACCAGAGTCTGAGCCAGGCTGGCTTGTACTTCTTGATTTAAAAGAAATAGTTGAGCTTGCTGTCGCCCCCATTCATAACGAAGAAACGATAGCCTACTTAAACAGCAAAATTACAGAGCACAGACACAGATTTGTTGAACTTTTTCCAGCACGACTGTTACCAAAACATCATTATGTGGAACACTATCCGCAAATGATTAAATCTTTTGGACCTCTTGTTGGGCAGTGGACTATGAGATTTGAGGCGAAACATAGTTTCTTTAAGAAAGTTGCTCGCCACACAAATTGTTTCAGAAACATAATGCTCACACTGGCTGCCAAACACCAGCAAATGATTGCTTATCAAATCCATTCCTGTAGGCTTAAGAAGTTCACACTAGAAGTTACACGTGTCTCCACACTTCCTGTGGATGTCTTAACCCTCTGGGGTCCTTCATTTCAGAGTCACACTCAGGACATTCGGGTCCAAATGGGCCGGAAGGGTGGGATTAATATTTATAAAAAAAAAAATCATCATTTTTTTTTTTTTACTTTTCTTTTTTTCTTTTCTTTTTTGGTGTTTTGAGATAATTTCAAATATAAAACTGATTTATAATTAATATTAATGCAATAATTATGACCCATTTTTTTCCCCATTGAATATAATAGAAAATGTTTTATTTTTTTTTATTTTTTTTTTAAAGCTGTATTTCATTTTAGAGTCAAGCCTAGGCCTCATGAAAGCAATTTTTGAAATGAGATGGATGCCATCTGGTGGACAAACTGAGCATTTAAAAAATTCAAAACCCATATGTAATCTGAATTTATTAGTGTGTATGTGTATAAAAGTGTGTTTGTGTGTGTGTGTGTGTGTGTGTGTGTGTGTGTGTGTGTGTGTGTGTGTGTGGATGTGTCTGTTTTGCACTCTTGATGTTTTATAGATTCACCCCTTCACTGCTGTGTGCTTTTTTTCTGGATCGTGGCTGATTTGTAGATTGTACACACAAAAAAACTCTGTATTTTCACACTTTTGCCAATTTCCCATTCATTTCCTATGCGGGTCCATTTGGACCCGAAGGTCCTGAGTGTGACTATTTTTTTTACAACTACTTAGACTATTCAAATCCTGTCCCCAATTTTTTTGGGTGTTCATATACCAAGTACCAACAAAGTCACCAAATTTCGGACCATTCCGATAAAGCTATGATTTTTAAATAAAAAATATTTAAATGCTTCGGGTCCATTTGGGCCGAAGGACCCCAGAGGGTTAAACAAGGAAGTAGTAGCAGATTTGAGACAGAAATATCCAGGAATTAATGAGGTCCATCTTGCAAAAAATGTCACTAACAATGGGATCAATTATAGAACTGGTATGCTCATTTCCTTTGGGTCAGCTGGTGGCCTGCCAGAGTTTGCCGAAATTCTTCAAATGTGTATCGTCAAAAGCAGTTTGAATTTTGTTGTGAAGATACTGTGTGCATGGTATCAAGAACATTTTAGAGCTTTTCAGTTGACTGTCTCTCCTGATAGAGAGGTTGCCCTGGTTGATCTTGAACAGCTAACTGATGCTTATCCACTATATGATTATATGGTAGGAGGAAGACGAATGGTAACCCTGAAGAGGCACATCCTCATCTAAGGTAAACTGTTTAATAAGTGTTTTTATTTAATACAAGTAACAATGCTAAAAATTGTATTACTGATGAATGTTTTTTTCTGCTTTGTTTCCTCTTTTAGAAAAGTAGAGAAAAATGTCAAGTCCGGCCATCCTGAGGATTGTTTTTGGTGGGGATGACGATGCAAGAAAACTTGCACTTAAGACAGGAATCCCAAAGTCTGTGGATGACCTTGTCCTTGAAATAATGACTGTTTTTTGGGGTGAAGCAAAAGTTCAGGCTCCAGTACAAAGATAAGGACTTTGGAAATGAATACATGAATCTCATGTCAACCAGTCAAATTGAAGACAGGGATACCCTGAAACTGATTTTTCAAGTTCAAGTTCAAGTTCAAGTTCAAGACCTTTATTTGTCCCCGAGGGGCGATTAGTTTTGCTGCAGTAGCCAAATAAATTAACATGCAGTACATGACAACATCAAACATCAATTCAAATACAGGATCAGACAGATAAAAAATAAAAATAACACCACAACATTTAACATTTAAGTTCAAGTATGTCTTATGTGCAGACATTACCTATTCTTTACGGAGTTAAGCAGAGAGATCGCAGAGGGTACAAAGGAGAATTTAAATCTGTTTGTTTTGGCTAGTGGCTGACTGAAGCGAGAACCAGATGGCAGCATCTTAAATTCTACATGCAAGGGATGAGAACTATCAGACATGATAGATTCTGCCTTTTTAAGTGCATGTCTATTGTATAGTTCAGTTAGTTTTATCTGCTGAATCCCGATGATTTTACTGCTAACTTTATGTACCATTTCTAATGTGTTTTTCCGCTTTAAACTAAGAGAAGCATACCAGCAAATACATGAAAAAGTAAAAATTGATTCAATAAAAGATTTATAAAGCAATGTCATCAGCGATCTGTCAACTTGAAACTTAGCCAGCTTTCTCAGACAAAAAAGACGTTGCTGACTTTTCTTACTCAACATTTCTGTGTTTTGTTCAAAGGTCAACTTGTTGTCAATGATAATTCCCAGATACTTGTACGACTCAACAATTTCAACCTCTTTTCCATCTATAAAGGTCTTTTCAGGAGTCGGCTGGTGACGTCTAAAATCAATACGTCTAAAATTTTCTATCAACTGATGACTCCAGCATGCAAAAGACTGCACCTGATGCACCTGCCTGCTCCACCATTACTGTTACTTCACCCGGTTCAACATGTAGCTCTGAGACTCCTGACATGAGAGATGTTAACACATGTGCTATTGACTCAGTCCAGGAAGTCAATTTATCTGATGACTCGTTTTGCAGCAGCGCAGAGACTGTCATAGTTGCGTCTCCCGAGTCAAGAACCGGTTTTTGACCTCAGGTTTTTGTAGTTCCTCGATTTTCATGTTCTGCTGAAATTCAGCTTCAAAGAGCTGACACAGAGTTCAGCAACAGTGGAATGCTACTTATTCCACCTCCAAAACTAAGATCGGACATTCTTGAAGGCATGGCTGAGGAGATCTTTAGGTATGCAGCATACCCCACTGATAGTCAACTTGATCAGGCTGCTGAAGCTCTGATAAATATTAAGATGTCTAATTTTCGCTCAAAACTCAGCAAGATTGGACACCCTGAAATTTCTGTGAATTCTCTTAGGAACAAGCGTAAAGGTCAGGGTAAAGCAGCATCAAACATCAAAAAGCCAAGAAAGGCTGAGGTAAATTTCCTTCCTTGTCTCCCAAAAGGAGAAACAGCAGAGAGCATGGAGAAGGAAAGAATTGCTTTCTTAACTGAAGTGAAAAAGAAAAATAATGAGGCAGTCATTAAGGAAAAAAATGCAATTGACCTTCTCCTATAGACGACAAGAGTTGGTTGAAGACTTGGCAATCGTGTCTGATTTACAAAGCAGGTGGCCTGCACTGTTCACAGTAAATGAAGTAAGTTTTATTGATATTTACACAAGAATAAATTGTAAATTACTATAAATTCCTCCACAGTAGGCCTATATTTAATGCCTATCTTTATTTCAATTTTTTTTCTTTTTTTTTAGATAAATGCAGAATTCATGCGGATAACAACTGTACCACTTCTGTCAAAGTTCTTGGGCCAGCTGGACAGATACACTGTTAATCTACACAAGATTTTCAGCAGCAAAGGTGGTGCTTCTGGACAGAAGATATCACACATTATGGCAATTACAGACAAGGGGCCCTATCTTGCACTCGGCGCAAATGACTTTGTACACTGACGCATGTATCATTCCTATTTTGCACCCGCGCAAAGCGGACTTTTCCCTCCACAGACGCACGTCGGTTAACTAAGAAATACACTTGCGCTCCCCAGGGCGGTTCAGCGCAAAGAGGAGGCGTGTTCCGGCGCAAACTTTCCCTCATGCTATTTTGCTGTTCTATAAAACAATTGCGCCACTGACCAGAAAAAAACTAGTCTAAAGTCAGTGGCGCGTTGCGCGTTGTTCATTATGCTATTTTAAGGGCGCATGCTTGGCCATAATCAATGTAGCGTGTGCACAACGCGCATACACTTTGATTCTCTCATCTAAGCAGCAGTTTTCATTTTTGCAAATCATACATTATTACGAACGATAGATAGATAGATAGATAGATAGATAGATAGATAGATAGATAGATAGATAGATAGATAGATAGATAGATAGATAGATAATTTATTATAAAAGCATGTAGCTTACACATTTACCCAAATTATCATACGCCTGTTAAACAGAAGTTAATTTGGGTGGGTTTCTCCATCCCCAATGTCACTTCTCTGTGTTTTACGGCCCTGACGAGAACGTTGCTCTCCTCGGCTGTGAACCGCTCCTGGCGCGCGCCTGGCAAATCCGCCGTTATAATAGGAATCCGCTTTAGAACAAGCGCGCCTGCTCTTAAAGGGAATGTGAGATGACGCTCTGATTGGTTTATTTCACGTTACGCCCAAACCACACCTATGAATAATGAAGCTACTTCAGACCAACCCCTTTTAGATTTGCGCCAGGCGCAAGAGGCATTTATCCCGCCGGGAAAATAGCAACAGCGCCGGGATCCGCCCACAAAGTTACTTGCGCTTTGCGCTTTGACACTTGCGTTTCAGATCGTTAAAATAGGGCCCATTATCCCACCGGTCACAATTGTGACCGATCATAAAACTCACTTTTTCACACACTTTTCCATGAAAATTTAAAAAAAAATTATGATTGATTGTTTCAAAGGGATACTAATGACACATGATTTGGATATTTTTGTGTCTGGGAAAAATTTGGGATTAAATGGGTTAAAAATACAAATCCTTATACTGAAGTCACAGCTCATGGGGTCACAACAAAGTGCTTCTGAATACATAAGGCTGTATCTGGCTCCGTCTCTTACTGGGGGTTTGAGTCCTGGATATGTGCAACCTATTGAAACGTGGACATCGTTAATAAAAATAAAATAAAAAAAATAATGGCAATTTAGTGTGTGATCCATTGGCTCACCTGATGTGACTGCTTTCTTTGAGCTTTAACTTCTGTACCAGCATACGCCACAAAATGGATTAATGTGTAGATTCTGAAACAAAAGAACATAATAAATACACCATTGCTAAAAATAAGAATACAACGGAATGTTTTATCTTCAGACTTTAGACTGCTTTTATATATATATGTATTGAAACACTAAAACAAAAAGGTCTGGCAATTTTAACCATATAAAAGAATCAGTGATAGTGTTTTTTTTTTCTTTTGTGCATGTTTAGTTACCTGTGGTATAGCATTGCAATAAATTGCACTATCAGCAATAATGCAAAGCTCAGTAGAAACATCAGTCCAATTGGATCAATGTAAAACACTTCTGTTTTGGATAGAGTCCCATTAGGAAACAGTTTTGGGATCGTTATGGAGACTGAGTCACCAATTGTCTCAAGGAAGAAAGTTGCCACTAGCCAAAGTGCATTGCAGAAGAAAAAGGCAAATGTAACCTATATGAAAGAGAACAGCAAAACAGCATGGAGACAAAACTTTACTGTTCCAGAGCATAGACAAAACCACATACGAAGTAATTTTTGCATATTAACAAGCTTACGAGGCTTACCTTATTTCGAAGTTCTCTCAGATCATTAGCCATTTTTTCCTGTTGGTCTTTATTCTCTTTAAGAGGTTCTAGATATTTTTTTTGCAATCCTCTCCAGAACTTGATTTCATCCTGCATGTGGTGAAACGGTAAATTTATATTATGTGTATGCACTATGCACCAGCACCTGAAATATCTGCAGCAACCAGTGGCACAAAGTTGGGCCAGTTAGCACAGCCAAAAACAAAACAAAACAAAAAAGTAAAGCTGCAAAAAGCGAGTTTCTCCATTCAAATGTAGTCATGTATATGATATGGAAGAATAATAACATAATCATTTTGCAAAAATAAATAAATTATAAAAAATTATATAAACACATATAATATCATATCATATAATTTATTTATTACAATTTGTCTCACCATTGGAAGTGCATGTTCCTCCAAGGTAAAGTCATAAGATTTATTCTGCAGATGTTCAATCCAAGCTTTTGGAATTAAATATATAACCGTTTTAATCATAATCTAATTCAATAAGTCAACAGCTAGAATATTAGGATATTAAGTATGGAAGTCATACTTACTTTGAGGAGCATTGGGTGGGACCTCCTCTGCCCTGTAAGAATACAGTATTATTATTATTATTATTATTAGTGATAGTAGTATTAAAAACATCCACTGTAATCTGAAAGTAATTAATTTGTTATTATTTTTTTTAATATGTAAAAATATTAAAATTCTACAGGTGAATAGAAATGGAATGAAACAATGTGAATTTGTGCTATAGTGTAGTAGTTTTTTTTTTTTTTTTTACGTTTGTGTTTCCAAAGGAATATGTGGCTTTTCAGTTTCTGCTATGGTTGCTAGAGGTAGTATCTCCTTGCTCGAATCCTCTTCAGAATTCAAACATGGACATTTGCAACATGTGGCATTCATGAACTTCTTCTTGATGGTATCGACTGCTGTAGTCTTAGCCTGGCCGCCGGTTTCACGAGTGCCCCACGTGACATTGTTCATGTTGACTATACAGTAAATGGCCAAGAGTAAATACCCGCTGGGAATGCAGAGAAAGTATAACAACCCATAGATGATCAGTAAGAACTCCTGAGGGTGTAAAGCTGCCGTGATGATGTACAACGCCACCATGCCGATGAGGAACAGACCACTGGGGGTCAGAAAAGTTTTTTGCCTCACTAAATCCCCTATGAGAGTAGAGATGAGGAAAGAAAGTTTTTCCAGTGCAGTCTAAAAATATTGATGTTAGAAATTGTTTTTTACGCATGAAAAAAGACACAGCCGTTACCTATGATGCAGAGAACAGTTCCCCCCATGAGAAATGCGTAGAACACACTCATAATTGCTGCAATTTTAATCTGCATGTCAGATGTCAGTTTGAAGCATAAGATGAGATAGACAGTAGGGGGCACTATGGCCAAAGCAAGAGCAATATTTCCACTCATTTCCATAATGAACATAAAGCTTCCTGCAAGATAAAGAACACACTTTAACAGCCCTTTAAAAGCTCTTTTTTTGCAATAAAACAGCACAATGATTCTAATGCAAATAAATTACTGTCAATTTTTCTATGCAAGCAAAACCTTACCTGATATCATGAGACAGATAGTGGCAGGGCCCAAGATGGAAGCTGCCATGCTGATAATCTGGTACAAGATGTAAAGTTTTGAGATAGAGCTGTTCCTCTGAGAGGTCAGTCGTCCTGAGCCCAAGAGGTCGATGGTGTTGGCCATGGTAGAAGGTCCCCAGCGTCTGCGCTGGTTGTAGAACTCTTTAAAATTCTGAGGCGCATTGGTGTAGGCATCAGATGCTGCATTATACTCAACCCTCCACCCCTGCTGCAGAAGCAGAGTGCATAACCAGCGGTCCTCACCTGACGTTACACCGAAAAAAAGAGGGTGAATTTGTTTAGTCTAGGCTGAATTGATATTATTTGAGATTTGGTTTGCTTCATGTAGACATTACCTTGATCATACTGGACGCAGTGGCTGGCTTCACTGGCTTTAGTTGTATACCTCTTCATGACGTTGTCGTCCATGAGTGCGGCTCCTCTGAAAAGACTGAAACATCCAGGGCTGCACAGTACACAGCCGAACACGTGCTATGCAGTCTTCTGCAGCCAGTGGCCTACTGCATACTCAAACTTCTGATACCACACCATGGGCCCTTTAAGCATAATATCTATTAGTCCGTTTATCGCCTTTATAATCTATACTATACATAAGTAGTCACAAGTGCAGTTCTTTCGAGGGAACTCTACACTGCGTCGAGAATCGCCTCTTTGGGGACGCTCCCTCAGCGTGCGCCTCTGAAGTAAAAATGAAACTAATCCAATCCTGATTGGCGTTGCGTCCTGACGTAACATGTGACGGCATAACCGGAAGTATAAAAGTGACACTGACGCACACACATACCAGCTATCGCTCTTCAGCAAGCGCTCTATGTTGAAACTGTCTGTCCTATTTACTGTTGTTTGTCCTGAGTGAAAGTGTTATTATGGCGAGTGAACAATTTACAAGATGTGTGCACCCCTGCCCCAGATATATTACGGGTGGGGACACACATTCATTGTGTGTGAATTGTTTGGGAGCACAGCACGCACAGGCAGCTCTTGAGGGAGTTGCCTGTGAACATTGTGAAGCACTCCCATTAAGAGTGCTGCGCTCCCGCTTGGCTATTTTCTCTAAAGATGGTCAAGCTCGCGATCCTTGCGGTTCAGGTCCCGCGTCCGTTGAGGCGGCGCGGAGGCTTAGATCGTGGGGATCGCAAAAGGATCTCGCAGATGAGAACGAGACTGCCGAGGCACTTTCTCGTTCATCATCTGCAGATTCTCTGACACTCGCTGACGGTGCAGAAGCCCGCGCTGCGGCTTCTTCTGCCTGTGACGAGTGCCCGGTGCTTGAGCTATCCGCTTCCGAGGAAGTGGATGTGCTCAGCATCGGGAGCGCGGATCATGAGTCACACTCGCCAGCTCATGTTTCCGCTTATGAGGAGTTGGTGGAGGTTGTGACGCGTGCGGTGGCCAAACTCAACATCAGTTGGCCACAAAATAAGCAGGATGAGACTCGTCAGAGTAAATTAGACGAGAGATTTCTGCAGCACCGCTCACAACCTCAGCGCCGGGGTTTGCCTTTTTTCCCAGATCTCCATAGAGAAATCACGAGATCCTGGGAAAAGCCTCACTCGTCTCGTATATCGCACAGCACTTCGTGTGATTATAGTAACGTTGTGGGTGCGAGTGAGGCGGGCTATGGCAGGATGCCGCGGGTGGAGGAAGCTTTAGCGAGCTATCTTTCTCCCGAAGCGGCATCCTCGCTTAAAACCCCGGCGCTGCCCAGCAAACCATGTAGGGACACTTCTGCATTGGTGGGCAGGGCTTATATGGCGGCTGGTCGGGCTGGTGCGTCCCTGCATTCAATGGCTATTTTGCAGGCGTACCAGGCCGACATCCTAAAAGATTTAGATGAGGGGGAGGGGCCAACACCTGAGGATGTTGCTGAATTGAGAAAAGCAGCAGATTTGTCTCTCCGTGCCACTAAGGAGGCGGCCTGTGCAATTGGCCGCTCCATGTCAGCTTTGGTGGCCACGGAGAGGCATTTATGGTTGAATTTGACGGGTATGAAGGATAAAGACCGTTCCTTTTTATTAGATGCCCCAGTTTCGTCTTCTGGCCTGTTCGGCGACGCAGTATCTACTGTCGTCGACAGGTTTCAGGAGACGAAAAAACAATCAGCAGCTTTTCAACAATATCTCCCCCGACGTTCTAGATCTGGGAAGGCTGGTCCAAGTGGCCAGTCTCAGCCGTCCACCAGCTCCGCATATCGCCTGGAGCAGAAGGAGAGCGTTTCCTCTCGAGCCCCTCCCGCGGGAGCTTGGCAACAGAGGAAACGTTCCCATTCTAAATCCTCTGGCCAGAAGGGCGACCTGAGGGCCGTCATTCAGGCTAAGAGGGCTTCAGGGAAGAGGTCCTAGCCGAGATAATAGGACCTCCGAGGGCTGCCAGGTTTGCAGGGGTGGTGCCGACTACAGTGGTTCCAGAACAGGCTCGGGTTATGGAACAGGAAGTACAGGCTCTGCTGGTCAAAGGGGCCATAGAAAGTGTTCCCCTACCAGACAGAGAGTCAGGGTTTTACAGCCGATACTTTATAGTTCCAAAGAAGGAATGGCGGGCTCAGGCCGATTTTGGATCTGAGACACTTGAATCGGTCTCTGAGGAGATTCAGGTTCAAGATGTTGACGATTCCCATCATCGTGAATCAAATCAGGTCCGAGGACTGGTTTGTCACAATAGACCTAAAAGACGCCTATTTTCATGTCTCCATCCTTCCATGTCACAGGAGGTACCTAAGGTTTGCTTTCGGGGGCGAAGCATATCAATATCGGGTTCTTCCGTTCGGCCTAGCACTCTCTCCCCGCACGTTCACGAAGTGTATGGATGCAGCTCTGGCTCCTCTCAGACTCCAGGGCATTCGTATACTGAATTACATCGACGACTGGCTTTTACTGGCTCAGTCTCGAGAAATGGCGGTTCGGCATCGAGATGTCGTCCTTGGCCACATTCAGAATTTGGGGTTGAGACTCAACACGAAAAAGAGCGTGTTGGAACCAGCTCAGGAAATAACGTTACTGGGTGTGGTATGGAATTCGGTTACGATGCGGGCACACATGTCTCCCGCACGTGTCCAGTCCATCCTATCTATGGTTTCAAGCGTAAAGCTAGGTCAGGCCATCACTGTAAAGCAATTTCAAAGAATGCTGGGCCTCATGGCAGCGGCATCCAACATCATTTCTTTGGGCCTTCTACATATGAGGCCTCTTCAGTGGTGGCTAAAGGCCAAGGGGTTTTCTCCCAAGGGGAATCCATTTCGTATGATCAGAGTAACGCGCAGATGCCTTCGTTCTCTTCAAATATGGAAGAAACCTTGGTTCCTGTCCCAAGGGCCAGTGTTGGGAGCATCATGTCGCCGAAAAATCGTTTCGACAGACGCGTCCCTTACTGGCTGGGGCGCGGTCATGGACGGCCGCTTTGCCAGGGGTCTGTGGCTGGACCATCATCTATCTTGGCACATAAACTGTCTAGAAATGATGGCTGTGTTCAGGGCTTTGAGGAGCTTCTTCCCAGACATCAAAGGTTACCATGTCCTAGTACGATCAGACAATACGTCAGTGGTAGCCTATCTGAACCGACAAGGGGGACTCAGATCGCGCCCTCTGTGCAGACTGGCGCATCAGATTATTCTTTGGTCCCAAGGGAAAATACTGTCCATCAGAGCAATGTATATTCCGGGGGTTCAGAATCAGGGAGCAGACATCCTGTCGAGGCAGGGGCTGAGGCCCGGGGAATGGAGACTTCATCCAGATGTGGTGAAGTTGATATGGGAGAGGTTCGGACCAATGGAAGTGGATCTATTCGCGTCTCGAGAGACGTCCCACTGCCCACTTTGGTTCTCCCTCTCACATCCAGCCCCACTGGGGTTGGATGCCATGGTACAGGCCTGGCCGAGGCTTCGCCTGTACGCATTTCCCCCGATCGCTCTGCTCCCGGGAGTCCTGGAGAGGGTTCGTCAAGAGGGCATCAGTCTACTTCTGGTTGCCCCAATGTGGCCGACCCGAGTATGGTTTTCAGACATAATATCACTCCTGATAGCTCCGCCATGGCAGATTCCTCTGAGGAGGGATCTGTTGTCTCAGGCGGAGGGCACAATCTTCCACCCTCGCCCGGAGCTGTGGAAGCTGTGGGTCTGGCCTCTGAGGGAGTTCAGTACCTAAATGCTGGTCTATCAGCCGGGGTGGTTGAAACCATACTTAGCTCTAGGGCTCCATCTACTAGGAGATTATATGGCCTCAAGTGGAATGTGTTCGTCACTTGGTGTAGGGAACATGAGTTAGATCCAGTCAACTGCCCGGTGGCTTCAGTTCTGGAATTTCTTCAAGATCGTTTCTCTGCGGGTCTCTCCCCTTCCACGCTTAAGGTGTACGTGGCTGCCATTGCGGCTTTCCACGCACATGTAAGTGATGGGCCTTTGGGGAGGCACCAATTGGTCATTCGTTTTCTCCGTGGTACTTGGAGGATGAGACCGGCAACCAGGTCCAGGGTTCCTGCCTGGGACCTGGCTATAGTTCTTGAAGGGTTATCCCTGGCCCCCTTCGAACCTTTAGAGTCGGCTTCGCCTAAGGATTTAACGCTAAAAATGGTATTTCTCTTAGCTATTACCTCACTTAAGAGCAGGGGTCTCAAACTCGCGGCCCGCGGGGTGATATTTTGTGGCCCCCTACTTGACATTAAAGTGTAATGTTAGTGCGGCCCGTCGTTGCGTGTGCCGCGTTTTAAATGGGCTACCTTATGGTGGGTTTGTTGTCAATAGTTGCCATAGACAACCGCGAAGTACAAACATACTGCGCACCTGGAAAAAATGAGTGCGTCGCTTCAATTATGAGCGCGCTTGCCGCGCACGCGCACCTACATTTGAAATAACGAACTTGAGCGCGCAAAATATGTGAGCGCGATATGTGAACGGCCCCTTGTCGAGCTACCACCAATCAGGCAGTAGCTCGCGAGCGACGTGTTGGAGAGAGACCCTGCTCTAAAACAATGTGAGAATAATCATTTTGAGCTTGTAATTTGTGTCCAACAGGTTGATAAGAAGGTTTGCTTTGATTTGTGCAGTCAGTAATTTGCCTGAGACACTATGCATGTGTAGAAAGAATTCAATAAGACGGGCAGAAATGACTGCAAATATTTGTATTTCAAAAGCAATAATTGTTTTTCTAAGTATATAATAAAAGGAAATGTGCCTTCCAAAAAAAACATTCAATATCATTAATGTGTTGTATAAAGAAAATAAAAAGGACATAAGCAAATATAAATATTACAAATATGTGTTATAGACAAAGAAAGTTTGTAAAATGAACTTCAACTGTCAGAAGGACAGCTCATGAAGAACCAATCATGTACAGAAAGGAATGTTCAAATTCAGAGGAACAGTTCAGAAGAAACGTTAATAATAAAGATTGAGAAGATTGGATCAGTTGTGCTCCTTTTTTGGAATACTTGAATACTATTTTTTGTGGAATACTTGATGCGGCCCAGCCTGACCCCGACTCTACCTCCAGCGGCCCCCAGTTAAGTTGAGTTTGAGACCCCTGCTTAAGAGGGTGGGAGATCT